TTCTTATGATCCTGTGCAAAAGTCAGAATTTTATGCTATTCTTATGGTAGTAAGGGATTTTAAAGAACCTCTCAACAAGTTACCGATTCGTAATATGCCAAAGGAGTTGTGTTGTATATTGAAACTGCTGAATTATGCCAGCTGAAATAGATTTGACTTTATTATTTATTCAGTTAAAAGGTACAATAAGGAATATGAATCATTCTACACACACACACACACACGTATATAACACATATCCAATCCCATACATGTCTGCCAGGTCCTCTAGCACAAGGTAATGCAGAAATTGATCAATTATTGATAGGAAATGTGCTGAAGGCCTCAGAATTTTACTCAAAACATCATGTCGATAGCAAAGGTTTTTAAAAAATATTTTTACATCAGATGGCAACAAGCCAAGAAAATTATAAGGAGATGTTCTACTTTTTTTTAATACAGGAAGTAACTCAAAGGATAATTAAAGGTATGAAATTTGGCAGATGGATGTGTTTCATTTTGTAGAACTTGGAAAACTAAAATATATATATATATCACATCATTGATACCAATTCAGGTTTTCAATGGACAACTGCTTTGAGTTCAGAGACAGCTGATTTGGTAATCAGGCATTTGCTAAATGTTATGGCCATCATGGGTAAACCTGTACAAATAAAGACAATCAATGCTCCAGTATATGTCTCTAAGGAACTGAAATAGGTTTTTGCTTATTATAATATAAAAGATATTACAGGTATACCACACAGTGCTTCAGGTTAGGCAGTTATAGAAAGATAAAATCAAACTTGAAAGGATATGTTAAATACACAGAAAGGGATGATAAATACCCCCCAGAAATAGATTGCATATGCTTTCTTAACTTTGAATTTTCTAAACACTATTGATAAAGGAACAACAGCTGTGGAGAGACATTGGATAGTAGAAAAAATTCCAGAATTAAATCAACTGATTTACTTTAAAGTTGTACTGACCTCAGAATGGAAACTGGAACATGCTATGTTGGGGAAGAGATTTTGCTTTTGTTTCCACAGGAGAAGAAAAGCTATGGATATCATCGAAATGGATAAAGTTTCTATTTGAACAAGAGACACCTCTTAATTAGGAGAGATGATAGTTCATCAAACAGCATGGTCGTTTATAGTCTAAGCCAACCTACAAAACTAACAATTGCTTTTCATTTGATCAGATATAATTTGCCAAAAGAGAATCTCCCAAAAGTTAGGGATGGGGAAGGATTTTGTTTCTGTCTTTTCAGGAGAATAAAGGTATCCAGCTAAGGAATCTGAAGACTACTGGACAAATGAGACATCTGAAGAAAAGGGACAAATCATCCAGAACAAAAATATTTCAATAAAAGGAGTATATTGACCTATTGGTCATGTGCATTTTCCACAGGATAAAATTTAATAAATCTCCCCCACCTTTGGATGACTGTCTAGGCAGTCAGCTGTTTCTGTCAGTTCTCACATTTTTTGGAAGTCACTTGCTCTCACTTCTGTTTACTCAGTTAATATTATTTCCTTCTTGGGTGTCTGAAAGAATTGAAGACTAGATAGTTATTGTTTTCCTTGTTACCAGATGCAAGTAAATTAGGTACAAGACTCTGGACTCACCAAGATAGGACAGATATGGAGTATTTTCTCTGAATCTGTCAAATGCACATAGAATAGACATTGTTGATGTATTTATTGCCTCTATATATTGTATACAGTTATTGCACTTATTGCATATAATTTTTCTTATATTAGTCATAGCCTTTTTATTTTAGACAAAAATGGGGGGAAATGTAGTGAGATTTCATTTGTATTTTAATAAATAAAACTTGCCTGAAGATCAGGATGCAAAACAGTCACACTAATCAGTCATACAGGCTGGGCAGTGGTTGTGCCCAGCACTGGGGAGTCAGAGGCAGGTGGATCTCTGTGAGTTTGAGGCCAGCCTGGACTACAAGAGCTAGTTCCAGGACAGGCACTAAAGCCTTAGAGAAACCCTTTCTCAAAAATAAAACAAAAAGATAAAGGAACATAGCAGCGAAATGACTTTTAATGACATTCTGCTATACTCATAGATCAGTGCCTCACTCAGCCATCACCAGAGTAATTTCTTCTTGCAGTAGATGGGAACTAACATGAAGACTCATAACTAGACAGTGTAAGGTAGAAGGTCTGAACCCACTTCTGGGTTTGAAAACCTACTAAAACCCCACCAATACCTGAGCACAAAACCCCATCAATCCTTGGGCAAAAAGTACCAATCTCTGAGCATAGTATCCCACCAATCCCCAGGCTTGGCTTGGAATCTCAACAGTCCCCATCCTCACCAGCAAGGAAGACGCAACACCAGACTCTTCTCACTGTGGTTTTATTCAGGACCCTTAAATAATCTTCTCACCCTCTCGCACCTCTCGCACCTCTCGCCCCAGGGCAAAGCCAGTCTACAGCTTAAATAACCTCTGGGTAGCCAACCCCAGTAAACCACGTGGGAAACACAGATAGGTTCAGAAACGCGGAAGCAAGCCAGATTCTTAGCATTAGCCATATATGGAGTTGTTCACAGCTGAGAGCACTCACTGTTGGGAAGGTGGAAGGCAGAAACCAGTGCCACCTTTAAGGCGTGGCATCACGTAGCTCTCTACAATCCTGAAAATCTCCACCCTAGAAAACTCCTCCCCCAAGAAACTCTATATAAGCCTGTCTCCTGCTCAGTTCCCCACTGCTTCTCACCAGAGCAGAGGCAGCCCACCCTCTTGCGTCTTTCCCAACAAATATCTGTGTGAGATTTGTAGTGCAGTATGACTCTAGCTGGAATTTTCTTTGGGCCACCAACCAGCTCCCAAATAAAGACACAGAGACTTATTATTAATTATGAATGCTCAGCCTTAGCTTAGGCTTGTCCCACTAGTTATGTTAACTTAATTTAACCTGTTTCTATTAATCTACATTTTGTTTTGTTTTGAGACTTTTTACCTTTCTTTTATTCTGTATGTCCTACTTTCTCCTGATTCCTCAGTGTCCGGTTGGCTGACTCCTGGAGTCTTCCTGGCTTCTCTTTTTTTTTCTTTTCCCAAGCCTAAATTTCTCCTTCTATTCACTCTTCCTCCCAGGAGGTCCTGCCTATCCCTCTACTGCCTAGCTATTGGACATTCAGCTTTTTATTAGATCAATCAGTTGACTTAGGCAGGCAAGGTAAAACAGCAACACATCTTTGCATAGTTAAGCAAATGCAACACATCTTTACAAAGTTAACAAAACATTCCATAACATAAACAAATACAACACATCTTTGCATAATTAAATATTTTGCAACATATGTGGTATTCCTTGGCTTCCTATTGCTAGGATAGCCTTCCCTTCAGAGGTGTAACACTTCCATTGAGGATTTCTCCTCAGAGTTGTAACACAACAGTATGTGTGAGATACTTTGGAGAACTCGTCTCTAAATGAGATGTCTGACTTCATCAAACAGTCCTCTCAGTACTGAGGGGTCTATGCGGAAGAGGAGGTGGAAAGATTATAAGAGCCAGGGTGATAGATGTCTCCAAGGAAATTGCGCCTTCAAGACACAAAAGGACAGATGTGCGTATGATTTCAGAGAGACATGGGCAGCACACACAGTTTGAGTCAAATGGGACCCAGTGCTAAGAGAGAGAGAGGAAAGTGGATAGGGGTTCCCACCCCTAACCAAGGAGCTATCTGTAGTTGATACCTGCTTCTAAAGGATCCTAGTCACTCTTCGTGGTAAGCTCATGCCCAGGAGGGCAACACAAAAAGAACTCAAAGATATTTTTGTAGATGTTTTGTCTTAGGTTGCTTTGTTTTTTCTTTTTTCTTTTCTTTTCTTCCTTTCTTTCTGTTCTTTCTTTCTGTTCTTTCTTTCTTTCTTTCTTTTTTGTCTTATTGGCCTTTTGTTTGTATATGTTGGTTTCTGTTGTGATTTGTCTTTGTGTGTGTGCCTGTGTATGTTTCTAGATATTTGTTGTTTGGTTTTTTTTTCTTTTCTTTTTTTTTTTGAGACAGGGTTTCTCTGTAGCTTTTGTAGACCAGGCTGGTCTCTAACTCACAGAGATCCACCTACCTCTGCCTCCCAAGTGCTGGGATTAAAGGCATGCACCACCACTGCCCGGCTGTTTGGTTTGTTTTTAAAGAGAGGAAAAAAAGGGCTTGGAGTTGGGTGGGTGGAGAGGTGGGGAAAATCTGGGAGGAGTTGGGGAAGGGGAAAACTATGATCTAAATATATTGTATATTTTTTCAATAAGAAAGAATGTTTAAATCATTTAAAAATAAGGGAATTTGCAACTGGATCAATTAATAAGAGTTTTAGGCACTACATCTATGTTAAAAGAAGGTATTGAAAATAGGAAATTAATATTAAACATTTGGAGATTATATCAGAGCTAAAGATAAATATTGAAAAATGGAACTTTCCCCAACTCTCTCCTCTCATTTGTCTATGGCTTTAAGCCCTCTTTCTTTATTTTCAAGTAAATAAAATTCTGTATGTCAAAGGAAACAATTACTATGCTTGTTTTAGCACAAAACATGGAAGGCAAAGAGAGCCTGTACTACACTTAAAATTTCCATCATGAAAGTGACCCTCTGCTAGGTAAGAGCTTGCTCTAATGACCCAGAACAAGCTTTGTTCTGTTTTACATCTGGAAGGATGTAAAATTTTAATTTTAATTTGGTTTATGTATTTTTTTTGTCTGGGTGTACCTTGATCTAATTTAATTTTCATGTCCTCTCCTGATAATTGTTTTCATGTGATTGTAATTTCTGCATATGTCTATTTTTTTGGGGGAGGGGCAGGGTCTCTCTATGCAGCTCTGCTTGTCCTGGAACTCACTATGTAAACCAGACTGGTCTTGAAAACATATATGTCCACTTGCCTCTGGCTTCCAAGTGCTAGAATTAAAGACATGTGCCACCATACCTGGCTGTTATATGTCACTTTATTTATTTTTTTTTAAAAACCATACATCTTTTTATTGTTAAGTCAAGGAGGTATCAAAATTAAAAGCAAAACTTACAGGGTAAGACTTAACAAAACTACTAAGGAGCATCATCAAAGGAAGTGAGAATGGAACTAGGCGCAAGGCAAATATGAATCAATGAACACAGGAGAGGGAGAGGACGAACAGTGAAATGTGCTGAAAATACTAGGGGAGAGGATCTGGTGTTACTTCCATCTCTCACAAGCGCCTAGGTAAATGAATAACGGGGTAGGATCTCTAACTCCGCTGTGTGCTTAGGAGTCATCCTCCCCATTGGCGCTGTCTCTGTCGTCCTCTCCTTCCTCAGCTTCCTTTTCATCGTCCTTGATCAGCTCCAGCAGGTCATCCCCTCGGTCCTTGTCGTCGTCATCCAGCAGGCCGCCCTCCTCGGCAGAGTCATCTGCACCCGCCTCAGACTCCATCTTGACGTTCGTCTCATCCTCCTTCACAGAGGCGCTGCTCTGCTCCTCCTCAGACTTCTTCATCTCTACTGGGGATGAGAAGGACAAGTCTGCTTGTTTGCTTTGTTCTTTTTCAATTTTTTCCAGACTTTCCAGCAGAGAATCCACTTTTTGTTTTCTCTGAGTCAGCTCCTTCTTAATGGCCTGAAGGTCATCACCTTTCAATTTTCCAGATTTGGAAGAAGAGCCCCGTTGTCCACGCTTCGAATTGAATCCACTTTTGCCCCTTCGAGAGGTGTTTCCAGAAACACGTTGGCGTTTAGAAGGCACCACCGCTCGAGCAATAGGAGGAGGAGGAGGAGGAACACGTGCTGGGTAACTGTACATCCTGTCATAATAATCCCGTTGAAAGTCATATACCAAATCAAATGAGGAACCGTACATCTCCGCTGCAGATCGTTTCACACCTGCTTTTCCTCGGTTCACTTTTGGCTCTGCAGCCAGATTAATATCCAAAACCTGGCCAGCAATCATTCTGCCATCCTCTCCAGCTACAGCTGCCCGGGCATTTCTTTCGTTAACATATTGGACGAAGGCAAAGCCCTTATGCACAGAGCAACCTACAATTTTTCCATACTTTGAAAAGATTGCCTCCACATCAGACTTCTTGACCACAAGAGTATTGAGATTCCCAATGAATACGCGGGAATTCATGGACCGAGGATCTGTCTTGTTGGTGACGTTGCTAGCCATCTCCTCTGTTGGTTAAGGCTTCTCACAGCTGAAATGTAGCTGAAGATCAAAAAATTCTCACGGGAGGAAGCAGAAAAAAGAGACCGCCGCTCCTACTGTGGGTCCGTGCCGAGACCAAAGCTCCAGCGGGCAGGCAGCACACGACCGTTCGCTCTCCGTCTCTTCACAAAAATCATGTCACTTTATTTTTAATAAAGAAAAAAGCTGAAAAAAAACTGAATAACAAAATCTGTGGTCGCTTCATTTATATAATATTTATTTTGGATTAAAATATTTTGCATGTGCAAGAGATATATGTGTGCATGTGGAGTCTAAAGGTTGATGCCATGGTCTTTCTTGATTGCTTTCCACCTTATCTATTGAGGTAGGGTCTCTCATTTGAACTCAGTTTGCTGATTCAGCTACTCTAGCGAGCTAGCTCTCCACCTCCTGAGGACTGTGATACAACTGGGCCACAAGATTCAAGCGGCACATGTGAGGATGCTGGAGATCTGAACTCTGGTCCTTCTGCTTCTACAACAAGTCCTTTACCTTGTGCCATCTCCTCGGCCTCATTATACATTATCTTACTTAGTTAGGGTTTCTATTGCCGTGAAGAGACACCATGCCATGGCAACTCTTAGGAAAGAAAACACTTAGTTGGGGCTGGTTTACAGTTTCAGAGGTTTAGTCCATTATCATCATGATGGGTGACATGGTGGTATGCAGGCAGACATGGTGCTGGAGAAGGAGTTATAGGTTCTACATCTTGATCTGCAGGCAACAGGAAGTGAATTGTTTACCACACTGATAGCTTCAACAAAAGAGACTGCAAAGGTCATTGTCGCATGGTACCGCTTGTTCGTCCTGGCCGCCCAGAACTGTAATAATCACACAGAAACTGTATTAGATTTAATTAGCTCTAGCTTCTTATTGGCTAGCTCTTACATCTTAATTTAACCCATCTCCGTTAATCTGTGCTTCACCATGAGGTTGTGGCCTACCAGCAAAGTTTCAGCATGTCTATCTCCGGAGGCGGATCCATGGCATCCCCCTCAACTCAGCCCTTCTTTCTCCTAGCATTCAATCCAGTCCTCCCTGCCTACCTAAGTTCAACCCTATCAACAGGTCAAGGAAGTTTCTTTATTCATTATTGGTAATTACAGCACACAGAGGGGATTCCCACATTAGCTCATCTCCACAGTGACACTTCCTACATCAAGGCCACACCTACTCCAACAAAGCCCACACCTTCTAATAGTATCACTCCCTTTGGGGGCCATCTTCTTTTAAACCACCACACACATTAAAAAAAAAAAAAGACTTGTGATGAATGCAGAGACTCATGGGTGTCCAAGATGCAGAACATAAACAACAGACATGGGCACAGCCCTAAAAAGAGCACTTAGATCACCCTTATGAAGATCAGGTCATATTCCAGACAAGGGGGAGGGAGCTGGGGAAAGGCTGCAAAATGCCATTCTCTGGACTAGATAAAACCATTGCAATTGCTGACTCCCAGCAATGGCAGTTACTTGAACTGGGTGCACACGAGACTGGCCCTACCTATAGTCAGTAGGTCAAGGAAGGGGAAATGGCTCACGGGACCCCACCCTTGATCTAGATTTGTGCTTCTTTCAATCCTGGTACAGAAACTTGCCCCCCCCCCCCACAGTGGGTAATAGCTAGTGAAGAAATCCTAAACTGGTCATAGTGCTAAGAATAAATGACTGTTGTGTGCTCAGCCCTAAAAAAGTCACTTACATCACCCTTCCGCCCACTGTAAGGCTCAAGGAACATTGCAGAAGAGGGAACAGAAAGAATATGGGAGGCGGAGGGTTGGGGAGAGTATGTAAAATGTTGTCTTCTGAACACGACATAGCTCTCACCTTCATGAACAGGTAACTATGGTTACCTGGATAGGATCAACCCCTGAACACTGCAGTGTGGATGGGTCTTGTGTAGGCCTACCCCTCACTGAGAAGTCACTGGTAGTAGGCAGCTGCTGAGGGAGAGGGGACCAGTTTTCTTTGGGGGTGTGACTGTTGGTAGGCTTGCCCATGCTCTAGTGGATGGCCTTACACCCATGAGAATACGGGCTGTACTAATTGAACTTCATGAATTATTTTTTTTCATGGAGGGGACTATGGAGGTGGGAGAGAGATATGTTGAAGGATGTCTGAGGGAGCAGGAGGGTGGCAAAGACAAGAATCTCCCTGGAACTTGCTGAGTAAAGGAATCTGTCTGTCCATCCACCCTGGGCTGTGCCCGGTCCTCTCCAAGATGTCTGGATCGCATCTCATGGCTTGGGTGTGATGGTGTAACACCCCCATCAGGTTCGCTCTGTGGTGGGAAGAAATCTGTTGATCCGTATGAGTTAGGGTTGCCTTGGCTCTTGGGCCTGGTCCCCTCTGCTTCTTTCCAAATTAGAGAAGGGGGTTGGCTGGGGTCTGAGAGAGCTAAGTGTGGTGGTAGTGGCAGAGGGGATCTCAACTGGACAGACGTGTCAGGATGTTGGACGATCAATGGTAGTTTCCCAATTTCTGCTTCCTAATTTTCATGATGGCCTCCTTCGAGTCCTGGTACAGATGTTATAAGTCTTGGGCCTTGGGCTGGCTGTCCAGGTGTCTGTGTTCTTAGGGAGAACAGAAAAATAGAACACCCCCGGACAAAAGAGCCAAGACTCAGAAAAGGTGAAAGCAGTTCACTGAGGCAAAAGCTTTCTTTTGGGGACTCTGGGCTGGTCTGTTATAGGCTCCTGGAATCTCTCCTCTTCCCCCCCTCCTTAAGACAGGGTTTCTCTGTGAAAGAGTCCTGACTGTCCTAGAACTCACTCTGTAGACCAGACTGGCCTCAAACTCACAGAGATCCACCAGCCTCTGCCTCCTGAGTGCTGGGGTTAAAGGTCTGCGCCACCTCCTGGTGAGTCTCTCCTCCTGATCCCTCTCTTTTCTTCCCCATTTTCCTCCTCCCCTCTCCCATCTCTTCATCTGCACAGTCTTTGGCTTTCAGAGATAAACAAAGACAGTGAGGTGGCGTCCCAGCTCTTTCCAGTCTGATGCTGTGTGGGCATCTTAGGGTTTTTATTGCTGTGAAGAGACACCGTGACCACCCCAACTCTTTTTTTTTAAAATTATTTTATCTGACGTCCCAACTACAGTTTCTTCTCCTTCCTCTCCTCTCCATCCCTCCCCTATCCTTCTCTCTGCACCCCTTCACCCACCCCTCCTCTGTATTTGTTTAAAAAGGGCAGGCCTCCCCAGTGCATCAGCAAAGCAAGGCGTATCAAGTGCCATAGGATCAAGTACCTCCCTCTGTATTCAGGCTGGGCAAGACAATCCAGCATGAGGAATAGGTTCCCAAGAACCAGCCAAAGCATCAGAGACAGCCCCTGCTCCAGTTGCCAGGAATCCTGCAAACAGACCAAGCTACGCAACTGTCTCATATTTGTAGAGGGCCTAGGTCAGTCCCAAGCAAGTTCCTTGGTTGTGACCACAGCAACTCTTATAAAGGAAAGCATCCAATTGGGGAGGCTTGCTTATAGTTTCAGAGGTTCAGTTCATTATCATTATGAAGGGGAGCATGGCGGTGTGCAGGCAGATGTGGTACTGGAGAAGTATCTGTGAGTCCTACCTACATCTTACAGGTAACAGGAAGTTGATTGAGACACTGGGTGGTATCCTGAGCATAGGGAACCTCAAAGTCCACCCCCATAGTAAAGAACTTCCTCTAACAAGGCCATACCCACTCCAACAAGCCACACCTCCTAATAGTGCCACTCCCTATGAGATTATAGGGGCCAATTACATTCAAACTACCACTTTCCACTCCCTGGCCCCCATAAACTTTAACAATATCACAATGCAAAATGCATTTAGTTCAACTTCAAAAGTCCCCATGATCTATCACTGTCTCAACAATCTTTAAAAGTCCAACGTCCAATGTCTTTTCTGAGATCCATGCAATCTCTTAACTGTAATCCCCTATAAAATCAAAATCAAAATGCCGGATCACATAGTCCAACATATAAAGGTGCAGGACATATATTAACGTTCTAAAATTAGGGTTGGAAGCATAGTGAGGAAATACTGGACCAAAGAAAGACTGAAAACCAGTTGTTTTTTCCTTTTCTTTTCTCTTTATGGTTCTTTTTCTTTTTTATTTGTTCTTCTCTCATATATTACATCTGCAGTTCCCTCCCTCCACTCCCCCTAGTACCATCCCCTGTACCGTCCCCAGATCCACTCCTCCTTCCCCTTCAGAAAAGGGCAGGTCTCCCAGATATCAACCAAAGATGATCCTTCCTTCCTTCCTTTCTTCCTTCCTTCCTTCCTTCCTTCCTTCCTTCCTTCCTTCCTTCCTCCCTCCTCCCCTCTCTTTCTTCCTTTCTTTCTTTTTAATTGTTTTCATTGAGTTATATATTTTTCTCCCGTCCCCTCCCAGTCTTTCCCCTCCCCTTATGCCCTCTCCCATGATCCCAATGCTCCCTATTTACTCAGGAGATCTTGTCTTTTTCACTTCCCATGTAGGTCAGATCTATGTATATCTCTCTTAGAGTTCTGTTTGTTGTCTAGGTTCTCTGGGAATGTGAATTGTAGGCTGATTTTTCTTCACTTTATGTCTAAAAACCACTTACAAGTGAGTACATATGATATTTGCTTTTCTGGGTCTGGGTTGCCTCGCTCAATATGGTGTTTTCTAGATCCATCCATTTGCCTGCAAATTTCAAGATGTCATTATTTTTTTTCCCCACCGTGTAGTACTTTATTGTGTAAATATACCACATTTTCCTTGTCCAGTCTTCTGTCAAGGGGCATTTAGGTTGTTTCCAGGTTCTGGCTATGACAAATAATGCTGCTATGAAGACAGTTGAGCACATGTCCTAGTGGTATGATTGGGTGTCCTTTGGGTATGTATCCAAAAGTGGTATTGCTGGGTATTGAGGTAGGTTGTTTCCTAATTTTCTGAGAAATAATCATACTGATTTTCAAAACAGCTGTACCAGCTTGCATTCCCACCAGCAATGCAGGACTGTTCCCTTTTCCCAGCAACTGCTCTAGCATAAGTTGTCATCAGTGTTTTTGATCTTGGCCATTCTTACAGGTGTAAGATGGAATCTCAGAGCTGTTTGATTTGCATTTCTCTGATGGCTATGTTGGACCCTGAAGTCCAGCCACTGAGGAGGAGTCGCCCCAAGAGACTATTCTCACACTGT